CTTCATTAGCAGACAGAAGTTTGGACAGGTCGATGTTTCTTAATAGTGTAAATGGCGCGAGGCGGCCACTGATTCGGTACCTAGTGGAATCGTCTCTCTCTTCAGGGTCTTCCTACCCCAGAAAGCAGCAGCCACCCGAACTCAGGGCCAGCATTCTTAAGTGCGGCTAGATCAATCGTTTACTGAGTCCTTGTTACCTAACAATAACATTAGGTATATTGTGTTAATATCCATCTGATTTTCTTTTCTGTTATACAATCTCGGTTATCGTTAGCTAACAAAGACTTAACGTACGATTGACCTAGCCGCACTAAGAACCAAATTATGGACCGACAGGTAACGTCTTTGGCAAATTTATTCTGCCGGTAAAACTAAAAATTAAATTTAGAGAACGTATTGGAGTTGCTGAAGCAAAGTGCAAGAGTATACATAGAGGCAAATCAAACACCAGACGTCGTGCTAGGTAGGTTCACGGAGCTATAACAAGCATTGAAAATACTTCTCGACTCTGCAGTCATTTGGCGAATTCAGCTAATAAAAGATATACATGATGGGATGGGGAGACATTGTTTTGAACTTGAATTGCAGCATAAATAAATAAGGAAGAGTTTCAGGGATTTTGAATTTTCACATTTTAAAGGTGGGCAATGGGAAGTGAAAGTTTGTATGGGAGTATTGTTTTTTTTCAGGTAACTTCACGCGTTGAAAGCTGCAAGCAATAGCTAGTAGTTTCTAAATATCTTGAGAAAAAAATATTGCCGGCTAATCGAAGTTTGCAAATTTGAAAGAACCACAAGATAAAATAATCCTTAAGTTGTAATTCCGAATAAATTTTTCAGTTTATCAAGGAAAAAAACATATAGATGTTTCTTCTTTATCGCCTTATTTTGGTCGACATCCATTCATTTCAATGAATCAAGCCCGTCCACTTAAAAAACTCTGCAAGCGTCAGCTCCGCGGCGCTCCCGTGTTGAATGCTAAATCCAAAGTTGTGTCGTGTCGCGGGTGAGAGTTTAGCTGGTAGCTGAGATCCGTTGCTATTATTGTAAAATGCGCATTGATATCGTATTGATCAAGCAGCAGCGCGGGGAACACCTTACGGGCGCCACTGATGACGTCATCGCGATCTTTTATGCTGCCTGCCTCCTAACTCAGTCCTAAGCCATACATCGTCCACATCCTGATGCCTTGAGGCACGATACACGTGACGTAGAAAGCAGCCGCACTTTCGAAAAGAAATTTTTGTTTTTCCGCGATTTATTTGCGAAAAGATATTTTGTGGAAATAATTATTCGTTTCTCAGGAAAAGTTTGTCATTGATATCAATCCTAGTTGAGGCAAGAAAATGTTCCACCAATTTTAATTAACGTCTGCATGCCACTAAATTCTAACGCACTGTAAAATTATATCGCAGACGATAAAACTAGAAAAATTGAAAATTATATTGGCTTGATATTAATGGTTGGGCGTCTAATCCTGATGCCTGCTGATGTCGCTATATGTCGACGATGCATCCGTGGTTGATAGGATAATGAATCCCATTATCCTTCCAACTTCTAATTCATTCCCATACCAACGGTAACCGCCGAAGGTTGCCGTTGGTCCTCACAAATCATGTCTTAAAATTTATGAAAGACCTGACCGACAGGGTAGAAATGAGAGAGGTCTCGGTAACTCAGTTGGTTAGAGCGTTCCACTGAATATGCGAGGGTCCTGGGTTCAAAACCTGCCAATTCTTACACGATGTGAAATGAAATTTTATCACAGACGATCAAACTAGAAAAAAACTCCCATTTGCTCGCCAAGGAAATTCCCACAGTATTATCAATTGTTCACCGCTAACTATATAGTTGCTAATGACGCCCTAAAATATTTTTTTTTTTCTTATTAACGTATTATGGCCACTGCGAAATAGAATGAGGTGGATAATGCGCCACGCGTAACATCAGAACTGTACAAATTCCAACGTTCTTGATAGTTATTTGTATACCAAGGCTGCGAAATCTCTTTTTACTAGTGTACGTAGAGAAAAGTTATCGCCGAGGCAAGATAATCTCGAGGACGCCTACAAGTTTTGCTGTCATGGTACACTTTACACTAATATGAAAATTTGTTACGGAATGATTTTTCATGGGCCAAAATAAAAGGAAATAAGCGTATTCGCCCCATTGAACAGCATACCTTCGTCGAGCCACTGTTTTCTTTCCAATAGTTGTGGCCACACTTTTCTTCAAACTTTCCATTCATCCCAGAATCATCAAGTTAGAGGTTTAACAATGAAATTGATTTCCTTTTAGTAGGGTTAAAATAAATAGTCAATTAATTTATTAATAAACAAAATCACAATATTTACATTAGAACAGATGATTGTATGATTCGATTAGATTGACTTGATTCACAGCGCTCCGAATAAGGTCAATGACCGGTACCAACTTAATTTAAAATAGTCCCATGCCCAACTACCATCAAAATTCCCCAGAGTCCTTCACCTTGGAGTTTTGACACAACCTTTTAAAGGACATTGAAGGGACAAGCACAGGTTATTCAGGTCGAGGACTTTCCAGGATTAAGTGTTCGGGAAAATTCCTCAGGCACATTTTGCCAGTTTGTTTTCGCTCATAGATCTAGGGTGGCTAATCCGTTATTTTAGCACCAAAGCGCCTTGTGGGGATTTCTTTGTGAGCCGGAAAAGAGCAACGTGATCAATTGTTTGTTTTTCTCATTTGTCTTCTCTGTGTGTCTCTATTTTCTATGTAAAAGTATAGTTTTCTGTTAATTATATGGTTAAATACCTAATATTGGACATACCTACCTATCGCTCCACGCCCAGTCTCATAACGTCCATTTGTTTTAAGCCTTATTTAGTCGTCATGCTTTAGTCCTTAACTTTGAGTGAAGAGTTAAACATTAAGCTTACGGTATATTTCAAGTCGTACCTCCTGTCTTCAGCCTCCGCTAGACAAATGGAAGCTTAAGTGACTTCTGGTTACTGAACTACAGTGCCCAGGGCCAGTTGTTTCTTGTCGCGGCCCTGACCCAGTCCCAGGCCATCGGAAACACTGGAAGATATCAATCCAATCCTTCAGGTTCACCTCAAGGGATTAGGGAATACTCAGATTTGATAAGTGTGTTGTGTTTATTGTCTTAATATCTGGAACCTATCAAACCTTACTATACCAACCCCTTGTTGGGATAAATCACCACAGCGATACAGTTTCCTTCTACAATATTAAAGCCCTTCGGGTTATGTGTTTGTTATTCCAATTTTAAATAATTATCTATATTACCTATATTATATGAAACTTGCCCATCAGGTTATGTTTTGTTACTTCAACTTTAATTATTGATCTATATCTCTCTAATATCCCATAAATACTTGTACACTGGGGTTAAATGGCCATTTACGAAGGTACTGCATTTAGTAAGTTTGTCTATTAATTCACGTTTCAGGTATTATTGCTGTTATAAGTGTTATACGATACTCTATTTCTTTATTTAGGGACTCAAGTGAGTTAAATTATTGTAAATCCTATTTTTAGAACGTAAGGTTAGGTACTCCTATCGATTTATTTTGTTCTTGTTCTGGTTCCAGTGTTAATAATTTTCATTGTTCTAGGGCGTTCGGAAAACCCACTCCGAACCTACTCTAGAGTCAAACCTATTCTGGTTCAAATTAAAAACCCGTACCTGCTTGTAGCAAAGCGTTTCACTTCTGCCCTTCCTCTTCCTTCTTGTTTACTTTTATATTTCAGGTTGTGCTGCTATAGGTCCGTAGAAGTTTCCTGCTTTCGTTATATCGGTTGACTTCGTGTACTGCAGGGAAAAGCAGGTGGCGCTCTATATTTAATTATTTAATTGATCCACATCCCTCTTCGCATAGCCGGCAACCCTTCACACGAAGTCCCGTTTCTAGATTTTAGCCACCGACCAACCCTCCCTCTCTATTTTTTTTTTTTTTTGTTTTAGTTACCCATTCACTGTCTAACTTCCTCAAGTTTTATTATTCACTTTTCAATCGGCTTGACGGGTAACAAATTACGTTAAAGTAGAGAAATAGCACAGCATATACAAAAACAATCAGCAGGCTAACTTGAGTGACAGCCCGTGTAATATAGGAGTTCATCGTCGAAATGTCACTAGTAGCCATTTTGGGATAAGAAACAGGGCCTGATTAACGATAATTTAGGTTTTTTCTTTCCTGTCACAGAGTCGTATTGGCTTTAAATAAATTGATTTATTATTAGTTACATAGTTACACATAATAATATTTATAATTACCAATTTATTATTATTATTATTAAATATGCAACAATGATAACAGATAACACTATAAATGACAACACGAATATACTAAAATCACTTCGAAAATCATAACTGAAATTCCGCTCTAAATCGTACGCCTATGACCTCCGTCAGAAATAAACAAATGTAATCAAACTTCGGCGCTCCTGCCGTTTAATGACAGGATGGTATCCCCTAATGGCGGCATGCGCAGAAAAGATGCGCGTGAGAGTTAGCCTGCTGATTGTTTTTGTATATGCTGTGGAAATAGTATTCTTTTGCGAACATTTGTGGAACCAACCATTGAACTACCAGTTCTATATACATTCTGGTGGCACTGAGAAAGTTTAAACAATCAAAATGAGTTTCCACCCTTTTCTCCCACTTTCCTTTTTTTTATAATATTCAATTTCAAGTAAGCGAATTGTGATTGTAAATTGGATTTATTTTATACATGATTGGAATGTTTGCAAATAAAATATCAGTACTTACCTAATATTATGATTAAATTAAATTCTGCTGTCTGTTCAATTTATTTTTTATATCTGGTAATTTATACCGCACAACATTGCTGTTAACTCAGTGTTACTGAGATTAAACAATTAGGGCTCTCGCAAAAATAACTAGTGCCCGACAAATATGCAAATTTACCATAAAAGCTTGAAAATTAATGCTTTTTTATTATAAAGGTTAAACGATTAACACTCAACAATGAGGTAGGTTTTTTCATTATTTTATTAAACAAATTATACAAGATTATCGTGGATTTCTCCACAAATTACACAATTTTAAAGGAAATCAAGTGTCGTGAATATAGTCATTTGGATCTTTACGTCCCAATTGAACATGCTTCTCGTCTGCCCAGAGGTAAGTCAGATAACCCAATGCTAAAGCTGAAACAATAAAATAATAACATTAATACCCATAATTAGAAATTTATGAAACTTTTTTTTTTAAGCGACAACTAATTTGGTACTGGTTCGTACGGTAAGTAATTCTCCAATTGACTATAATAGAATAAACACCTAATAAAAACCATCAGAGAGGCACTAATTTGAAATGATAATTGGCTGTCGTCTACATAGGTATTCTTTGATTTTTCATTTCAGTTATTTTACTTTTAACTGGTTAAACAATTGAGAAATAATTGGCTAACAAGATAAGTGATTGAAATTGTGTTTATTCATTGTTCAGTTCTTTTGAAAAATATTGGCGAAGCGATAACAACTGAAGTACTAACGAATGGGAAATAAATGGGCGCTATTTTATTATTTAAGCTTTTCGGTCAATCCAAAAATGGCATTATCTGAAAACAGAAGTTTGACTTTATTGAAAATATATCTCCCATGCAGGTCTTGGAAGAAGTTGGGAAACCAAAATGTCCATGGTTTTATGCAATATGGTCGACAAAAGCAAAACAAGTAACGACGGTCAATAAACTGAACAGCCTTCAAAGACTGGCATATCGTCGCCTTCCTTACAAAGGGGCTTATCTCAAAAAATTGCTAAATTGAGTTAAGCCCTTGGGAGACATCATCAAAAGGGATACCTGCAGCTACCCTCTAAAAGGCTCATCTCAAATCCTCACATATAGGCAATCTTGAAGGCCTATCTCAGATTTAGCACGAAAATAATGTCACAAAATATTTGTAAAAACTTCTTTTTTCTCTCCTGAAAAATCACAAAAAATGAGATAGGCCCCTTTGCAAGGAAGGGGACGATATCTTTGTATCACCGGGTAACACCCACTGCAGCTGTGGAAGCAATTCTGGGGCTAGCTCACCTCAATGTTCACATTGAAATGTCAGCTATAGTTAACGACCACCGGATTATTGCTGCCAGGCAACTACGGCCACACAAAGGCAGCTACGGTCTTACAAAGGTTATCGACCTGATGGATGATATGATAACATAGTGGAAATGCGAACGCATCAAATAGTGGTAGCCCATAAGTTCGAAAAAAAACATTCAAATTCAGCCCAAGCATAATATGGCAGGAAGGAATGCCTCACACAATAAGAAGAGGCCCAGCGCTGGCGTATATGGAAACAGATCAAGATCAGGACAAAGCTGTAGATTCCATAAATCTGGCATATACTGTCTCATTGCCTTAATCTCTGCGTGAACTTTTGCATTAAATACCTTTGCAGGAATAGGTACTAACACCGTAATACCATCGGAAAAAATACCCACTTGAAAAATTTTCGAACTACGATCAAAAAGTTCACATGATACGAAACTGAAGACCTCTTCCCTCGCCTATACGAAGATTTCATCCCAATTGCTTCCAAAATAAAAAGATTTCCAACACGTTCTAATTCCAACGACAACAGCCTATTATCGCTATTATTAGCGTTCAAGGTAATGTAGATAAGGAAATATAAATTAACTTTAAAAGTATAAATTTGTGACTCGAAACAAATTTTAAAAAGTTCAGCTGTTCCGGCACACTTCCTGGTATTTCCTTGACAAGTGAAGTGAGCCAGAGAGGGTTTGCACGTTGCCAAACGAAACCAACGTCTTTTGATAAATAAGATTTATCTTTCCCAAGGTGCGTCTAAAGATTAAGGCGATGCAAAGTTTTATTCGTAAAACTTTTGCGTACTGTCTTCATTCTGATTACGTACTATATTACCACTTGCGTCACTAACGCAAAATTCAGAGAGAAACTGCTAATTATCCCTTTTGGCTTTTAACGATGGCATCCAGTAAGCGAAAGATTAATCAAAATGAACCTGACATTACATGGAGTTAAAATAACAATAATTGGAGTATATGCGGTGAATGACGACACTACAAAATCTACAACAAGAAATAAGCAAAATTGGGAAATTACAATAAATAATAATATTAGGAGACTTGAGCGGAAGAACTGGTTTAAAACTCAAAAACAGTGTTGTAGATCGATCTGGAGAAAATGCTATTAACGACAACGGACACAGAATAATAAATGTATGCGAACAAAACGACCTTAGGATAATGAACGGATTCTACCCACACCGTATGATACACAACTTTACGTGGACACAGAGAATCTTAAATCTATAATAGATTATGTAATATTGAATCAAAAAACCGTCCTAAGAACATATGATGTCAGAGTCTATAGCAGCGCAACTTGTGGTAGTGACCAGACCATCACCTGCTAAATGCAAAAATAGTATTTCCCATACGAACTAAAACAAAACACATCGATCAGCCGGAACAGTGCGATAAAATAGAACCAACACACTACAACCTAGACAACCTGGAACACGAAAGCACCAGAAATCTTTACGCAAAAAGAATCGATGAAAAACTAAGAGATGCGCCTTCCGAAAATAACAACGAACATTTTAATCATATTAAAAAATGCTTTAAAGATGCTGCAAATGAAGCTTTAGGTGTTTATGAAAGAAAAACGCAAGGGAAACCTTATTGGTGGGACGAGGACATTGAAAGAGACAAAAAAAAAGAGAAATTAATCAAAGATTCTTAACAACAAAGAAACAAGAGAACATTTTATTTAAATAATCCCAAGCAAAAGTCAGGAGAAAGATCACACAAAAGAAGAATGAATCTTGGGAAAGAAGATGTACAACAATCCAAACATACCATGAAGGAAGAAAAAGCATAGAAAGCTGGAAAATATTAGTCACTACGTCAAGAGAAAAAGACATACATAATATTTCCTATTTCATTACAAAAATGGGACAAATACTTCAGTGAACTATTGCAGGAAGATCGAGACAAATTCAAGGAACCCGGACGGAACGGAAAACATATCTGTTTCAGCCTCACCCATCAAAATATCCATAAAAGAAGTCAAAGACGCATGAAAAGGCTTAAATAACAGGAAGGCTCTCGGACCGGATAACATACCAGCTAAATTATTAAAGTTTGGAACACAAGAACTATACGAACACCTATAGCAAAGTTATTCCAAAAATGCATTAATACCGGTGAGATTCCAGAAGAATGGAAAGAGTCCTATCTTACCCCAATGCATAAAAAGGGCAGTAAAGATGAATGTGGCAATTATAGGGGCATTGCAGTTACGGGGTCGATAAGTAGATTATACGGTAAAGGACTTAAAGCCAGAATAGAACAAGAATTCGCCGAAGAACAAGCTTGATTCCGGATAGGAAGATCCACAGTTGATCACCTTTTCTGTGTAACACAAATTCAAGAGAAAATATCAGCCGTTAATAAAGTCCAGCTATTATTCGATTTATTCGTAGACCTGAAAAAAGCTTACGACAGCGTTCCAGTGTTTAAACTGTGGGAAGCCCTGGAGACAACAAACATCAATATAACGATAAATTAAAGCGATTAGGGAAATTTACAAAAACTCTCATACCTAATAATAAAAGTTGAAAACACACTCTCCAACGATTTCTTCCCAAAAAAAAGGCTTAAAGCAAGGTAGTTGTTTGTCTCCTACACTTTTCAAAATATTTTTAGAAAAACCGCTGCTACAATGGGAACGTAAATGTAGCAATATGGGGCTTAACGACAACACCATCTATACCCTGAGCTTCGCAGACGATTAAGTGGAAATGGCCACGTACAAAGAATGTCTGACCAACTGCCAAAACAGATTCTTGATTGGAAGCCAGCGGGAAGACGAAAAATGGGAAGACCGCGAAAAAGCTGGAGAGAGAGAATAGGCAAGGAGATAAGAGACCGGAGACTGGAAGAGGATATCTGGCTGGATAGATATCAATGGAGACTGGGCATCGGAAGACGTCGAAGAACGTGTTGAAGCCGATTTGTATATATACAGGGTGGCCCATCGAAAACAGTCCAGCAAGATTTTGGGCTTTGTATGTGAAAATTTAAAAAAATTCTCGGACCCGTATAATTTTGTTTTCAGGGGGACATATTTAAACATTGATTACATCACAGTAACTTCAACTCCTTAGCGGGGGTGGCATTCACCCTTATTTTTTCAAATGGGAAGGGGTATGTTGTGCTAAATCTTTTGAGAGGGCATTAAATTTTCTTTATTTACGACTAATGTATAATGTGCGTATTATATTTCTGATTTTGGCAGTATAATGACATATGTTATTCCTCCAGGGATTAATGACGAGTAGCGGGATTAATGGTCATTATTCCACAAAAGTGTCAGTGTCAAACGTGTAGTGCTTGTGAATTTGTATTGAAAATTATGAGACGGATGAAATTTGTTCATTGAAAATCTCAAGTAAATTAATTTGTCGTAAATAAAGTAGAGTATACTACTCGCAATAATGGCTATTATTCCCTCGGAATGTTACTCCCTCGCCGCTAACGCGGCTCAGTTCGTAATAATCCTCGGGAATAAAGCCTTGGATTCGTGTCGGACCAATAACGACAGTTATGTCGATTAACAGTGCCATTGAGAAAAAATGAACATTCGTCTGAGAAGCAAACATTAAAAAGGTAGTTGGGAGTATGTGTAATTATTTCGGACATTATTTCACAAAATTGTAAACGGCGGTCATTATCATCTTCATTCAATTCGTGAAGAAGTTGAATTTTATATGGGTACCATTTATTATCTTTCAGAATTCTCTGTACAGTGGTCCGAGAAACACCTGTTACATCAGAAAGTTTTCTGGTACTCAATCTAGGGTCCATAGTAACTTTACCCAGAACAGCTACTTCTACTGCCTCATTTCTCACCGGATTTTCAATATCTCGTTTTCTGTTTGTCACTAAACCAGTCTGCCGGAATTTTGCTACTAGTTCTAGGACGTAACCATGATGCACGTTTCTTTCTACATGCCTCTCATTGAACAAAGTTGCCGTTACTCTTGCACATTGATTGTTAATAAAATACAATTCAATAATTTCCACTCTCTCCGCAATAGAATAAACCATTTTTTATCGAATGTACACCAAAGAAAATCACAGAAATATTGAACTA